CTCTCCAAAATTTGACTAGTGCAACACAATAACAACCTAAACAACCAATCTTCAGGGCCGGTTTTGGACCTGTGCGGGTTGTCCAACCGCACAGGGCCCAATTTTTGTAAGGGCCTCCAAATTTTTTTATGTCTTTTGTATATACGTGTATTTATGATGTTTGGCCCAAGAATTTTTAAGTCCAAGGGCCACATTATTTAGAGAATAGCTTACTTTGTATTTCACTTTATTACATGAAGATATTTTTTTATCACTATTTAATGTTTTCTTATAGTTATAATAAATTTTGAAATATTAGTGAACTTTATATATCTAATATTTTAGTTTTAAAAGGCCTATTTTACTGTTATGACATAGGGCCACCAAAATTTACAAGACGGCCTTGCCAATCTTCTAGCTGCACTTAATAAAGACTACAACTCTCTTCACAATACCCTTCATTTAAATGCATTTTTTCTGGACATGTATGCTTCCTTCCTATTAATGTTGCATTGTTAGATGGGTTTGCGAGAGAGGGTGGGTGCCACTACCCACATTCATGTTAAATACTTAAGCTCGCATAAACATGAAAGGAGTCCTCATCTAGGGTTAGTATAGATTTGGGTTAGATTTAGAAAATTTTAAAAAACAAATTCAAGTTTAGAAAAAAATTAGAAATTAGAATATTATCTTCTGTGAAATTTTAGCTATCGTTGAGATTGTAACGGGTACAAGTTGTGGTATTCAGGTGTAGATAACGCTAGAAATAGGGTGGGTATCTTGGTATCCTCTAGACTCAAGGAAAATGTAGTTGAAGTTTGTAGATACCGTGATAGGATCATGATGATTAAGGTTATTATAGAAGAGGAAGTGGTGAATGTCCTTTCAATGTACGCCCCACATGTTGGCCTAGGGGAGGGGAAGAAACGTTGCTTCCGGGATTCGTTAGATGATGTACTTAGGAGCATTCCGGATGACCAAATAGTTTTCACAGGGGAGACTTCAATGGCCATATAGGTAGTGAAATTGAAGGCTGTGATGGTGTTCATAGGGGTTTCGGTTTTGGTAGTAAGAACGAGGAGGGGAGTACGTTGCTTGAATTTTCTACTGCACACGGTATGGTGGTCACTAACTCATTCTTTAACAAGAGAGATGCAAACTTGATTACGTTCCATTGCGGGGGACATTGTACCCAAATCGACTACATCCTGGTTCGAAGTCAGGATCGATGAGCTTGCATTGACTGTAAGGTGTTCCCTGAAGAGGCATGTGCATCACAACACAGATTGTTGGTTTTGGTGTTCTGCGTACGCCACGGGCGGAGTACTCATAGGAGGGCTACACTATGTAAACCTAGGATTCTTTGGAAGAACTTACATGGTGCGACAGCTGATGACTTTAGGAGTAAGGTTTTGTCTCATACAGGTTTTGGAACTACAAACTCAAATAATGTAGATATGTTATGGAAAAATATGACAAATTCCATCAGAGAGGTGGGCAAAAACACCCTTGGGTTATGGACAGGGAAGGCCAATGAACATAAAGAATCGTGGTGGTGGAACGACGAAGTCCAAACTAAGGTGAAGACAAAGCAAACTTGCTTCAAGGAGTTGCTACAATGCAATGACGACGAAGAAAGATCGAGGGCTAAACAAAGATACAAGGAGGCAAAGCGGGAAGCCAAGAAAACAGTGGCTAAAGCAAAGGATAAGGCATACAAGGAAATGTACAAGAGATTAGACACCAAGGAAGGACAAAACGGCATCTTCAGGCTTGCAAAATCCAGGGAGAATAGGAAAAAGGATCTAGGTAACATTAGGTTTATTAAGGACAACAATGGTGTTCTTTTAGTGAAAGATCATGATATTAAGAGGGTTTGGGGTAGTTACTTTTTTGGCTTATTTAATAAAGGTGCCTCTCCCTGAAGAGATAGTAATGTTGATGGGTCAGCCGACCATCATACTACGGCCAATGATTACCCTACAAGTAGGATTGGGATTGAGGAAGTCAAAATGGCCCTTAGAAAGATGGGGAGAGACAAAGCTGTCGGTCCAGATCAAATTCCTATCACTGTATGGTTGACCCTAGGAGAAGAGGGAGTTCAGTGGTTGACCAATATCTTTAATATTATTTTAGAGTCTGCCAAAATATCAGAGGAGTGGAGAGAGTCTACAGTGATACCAATCTATAAGAATAAAGGATATCCCCAACGTTGTGGTAACTACAGAGGTATTAAACTACTCAGTCATACCATGAAGCTATGGGAAAGAGTGATAGAGGCTAGGTTGATACAGGTTACTAGGGTTTCGGAAAACCAATTTGGCTTTATGCCAGACAGGTCTACTACGGAGGCGATTCATCTACTTCGACGGCTTATGGAGAAATATAGGGAAAAATAGAGATCTTCACATGATGTTCATTGACCTTGAGAAGACGTATGATAGCGTACCCCGCGATCCGATCTGGAAGACCTTGGAAACGAGACGAATCCCAACTGCTTATATCCGGGCGATTTGTGATATGTTCTGTTGATCTACTACATACGTCAGGACTACAGTTGGTGACATCGAGGCTTTCTCGGTGAAAATCAGACTCCATCAGGGGTCGGCTCTTAGCCCTTACATCTTTGCCTTGATTATGGACGACATTTATTGTGTGACACCAGATGGTGTTTCATAGTATATGCTTTTCGTTGACGACATTGTCCTATTTGCTTAAACAAAAAATGAGTTGAATAGTAGACTTGCTACCTGGAAGACTGCTTTGGAAGAAAAATGTCTAAGGATCAATATTGAAAAGATAGAGTATTTATGTTCAAACTTCAGTAGGAACCAAAACGATGAAGATGTAGACGTATGCATCGAAGGACACGTTCTCCCCTCAAATGATTGTTTCAAGTACCTAGGGTCTATGATACATAAAGATGGGGGTGTAGATGATGACATTACACACAGTCTAAAGGCGGGATGGCTAAAGTGGAGGGCTGCTACTGGAGTTTTGTGTGACAAGAAGGTGCCTCTAAAACTCAAGGAAAATTTTTATATAATGACAATAAGACCAGTGCTGCTGTATGGATCAGAATGTTGGAAAATCAAGAAGGATCACGTAAAGAGGATGGAAGCTGCAGAAATGAGAATGCTTCGATGGGCATGTGGTAGGACTCTGTGGGACATGACACCAAACTCTGCTATTAGGATGTCCTTGGTGGTGGTGCCTGTATCCAAAAAATTGAGGGAGTGAAGACTACGATGGTTTGGGCATGTCCTTAGGCGATAACCGTCGGATGCGGTCAGGAGGGTAGAGTCGATTACAGTCGACGGTGCCAGAAGGAGAGGATGACCAAGGAGGAAGTGGGTAGACTGCTTGAGATCTGATATGAAGGATTTATCCCTTACCGATGACATGACCTATGATAGGAAAGTATGGAGACTTAAGACCAAGGTAGCCGAGTAGTATGGGTCAACAACCATAGGGTGTAACATCTTTGTCTTCTTTTTAATTGCCTTTGTTGTAATTTCCATAACCTCTACTTTTTATACGTTTCTGTCATTGGAATTTATGAATGCTTAGAACTAGGGTAGCGGAGTAGTGTTGCCTTAGTTTAGGTTTTAATCCATTTTGACTTTTTTTCATTCTCGTAGCTTGCTATCGCTGACTTCTGTGTATCATTCTCTTCATGTTTCCTCTTTTTAAATTTAGTCGGTACTTACGTTTCTATCTATATGCAGAGTTTTTTAGGCAGGGATTTATTTGCAGGGATTACTTCCCATTTACAGACGCACATATGAATGACTGCATATGAAGATTGTTCAACTATGTATTTATTTATTTATTTATTTATTTATACATGCATTGTATTTTATTTTTATTTTTAATTTTCTGACTGCCGAAGGTCTTCCACGGAAGCTACTCTCAACCTAGTGTTGGGGGCAGCCTACTAACCTACCTCCCCCTTACCCCATTACATATGGGAATATGATTTTATTGTTGTTGTTGTTGTTCACAACGGTATCGTTTTCAATGTCGTTATAGTAACGGAAACTGTCATTCACGTTATGATATTATTTTTGAGTTAACTGATTAAAGTTTATTAAATAATACATTATAAACATTAAAATTTATTAGTATTTAGATATTTGATATTAGGACTGAGTGATAGTTTCTTCGTTGAAAGGTAAGCATCATGAAAAGTTAATGAATAGCTTTTAGAAAAGAAAGTCCGGAGAGATACGTAGGTTCCTCGTCTATAAGGATGAAACCTTTATAAATAGTCTGATTGCTCTTCCTTCTTTACACTCTTTACTACTCATTTATTTTTGTTTTTTTTTTAAATCTGTGATAAAATATAAGATAGTATCTCTTCAAAGATTTTCAATTCTTTAACAATAAACATTCGTATCCCTCACATACGCATCGTTCGAGCCGAAAACTAAAATAACAACAAATTTCTTAATAACCAAAATCGTTTGACTCGTGCTACTAGCTCATTTATTTACTTAAAGAAAATGTCATTGCTTTCCAAAAAGTGAGATGAAAACTAAAGCCAGATGTGGATTGATGTGTTAATGGTATTATTTTGGTCGTATAGAATCCACCAAAGCAAGCTTTTTTTGAATGTGTATAAAAGGGTAAACTACATGTTTATTATCTTAACTATCATTTTTATTTCATTTTGCTCACTCATTTTTTTTTAAACTATATCTAATGTTACGTTTTAGTTTTATTTTGATCACTCACCGTTAAAAAATTAACGGTGATGATAACGTGTCATTATAAGATAATGTCACATCATCATTGAATTTTTTTTTAAAAATCAAGTCAACAATTATGTTGATTTTTTAACGACATGAAATTAAAATGAAACCAAAACGTAACTTTAAGTACTTTTTTTAAACAAAAAATGAATGACCAAAACTAAACAAAAATGATAGTTGAAATACTAAACATGTAGTTTAACCAATTCATAGGATACTAAGAAGAAAAAAACAGAAGCAACATATTAGAAAGCTAAATGTGTGAGTCTAAACGCTTCTCTCCATCATCTCTTGATGCCTCTTGAAAGACAAGAGCTTTTGCAGGCGCATTTGTTTGTAGAACCTGGTGATGAATAAGTCTGCAACGTGATCGATCTCGTCTTCCAAACGGAAATCCTCTCCTTCCTCTTTGGAGTTCCTCACCATCTCGACGATGGATCCGCCTTGTGTCGCCGCCTCCAACTCCAATTCCTCGTCGAACAAACAGTGCGTCAGGTCAGGGTACTTACCCTCATCATCATCATCATCACCATAATTGGATGTGAAGTCGTAGGAATATGGAACAATGGCTTTGCTTTGGTCGTCTTGCTCTTGGTTGCTCTCCTTGTCGCCAAGGAGTCCATGAATCTTGTTGGAGATAGAACCGAGTAAAACTGTCTTCTTGCTTTTCATCAGTGTTAAAATGATGAGCCTGGCTTTGGCTGCACTCATTTTCCCCTTGGCTGCCATGGATTTGATTTTGGCAATAGTACTCGCCAGCACAGTAGACGTTATCTGTTTGATCTTCATAATATACACACGAGAGAAGCAGCAAGAAATAGATGATGGTTGGATGATAATTAACTGCAAATCAGCAATGCATTAGTTTTCTCATTTGATGCATTTATATAGACGTGAAAAAGGCAACTTGAAGCTGAAAGCCTTCGCTTTGCTGTCTCCCTTTTCTATTTTTTTACATTTTGGGTGCAGCTTTTGCTTTGCTTTTTAGGAGTGGGGCGGTGAAAGTGAAACGTCTAAAGAACGTTGAAACCAAAACTTCTCCGTCGGGAAATCCAATGTAACCCTATACACCTGGTGCTGCTCTATAACTATTACTTCATCGGGCTGAAATCATCTTACCCCAAATGAATTTAGTAATTGAGGATTGTTATATCTTCTTGGATGGCATTTGAAAACTTCTAAAATTTTATGTGATTGGACTCGTTTAAATTATCAGCACTCGTCTAATAACCAAAAATACTCCAATCAAGATCTTCATACATATGTCTCTGAGGACGTAGCTTACAATGCATAGACAAAATTTCTTACAGACTTACATAACACGGCAGAACGAAATCTAAAGTCTGACTAGCAAATCCATTTGACCTATTAGTCTACATATTTTTATCATTATCATACGCCTAACATCATCAACTAGGACCAATATAAATATCCTATATAAGACTGTAAAGGGGGCTAAACCCAGGTTCTTCTAAGAGAGAAATTAGCAAATGACCGCTATACTAAGTCTTGAATCAAGCCACTTTATGATATTCCCTAGGCTAAGATGAGGACAACTTGTTATACCTCTCGAGATGATCTTCGGAAACCTCCAAGCCTCCGCCTGATTGTACTTGCTAAAACTGTCAGCACTGTGTCAGCCAAAATCTCCGCACATATATATGTCTTCGCTTACTAGAGCATTGTGCTTGGACAAGACTTATGATAGACCCACGTGACATATCAAAACGAAATCTAAAGTCTTACTAACAAATCTATCAAACTTGTTAGTTTACAATTAGTCATAATTACCTTGCGCATGACATCATCAGATAAGATATTATAAATACCATAGATGAAACTTTAAAGGGGATGAACCTTCTACCTCCCACACCCATCTTCATCCTCTCCATTATGATCATCTCTATATCACAAAGAAATATCGGCCATTGACCATTCCTTCATCGGCCGCGACTCTCTGTCCAGATCAAAAGGGGTAAACTATCAACAACTGACGAGACAAACTTGTTCTCATGACAACATAAATAAAATATAATTTTGAATCATTAAAATTTTAATGTATCATAAATTTTATAAATTATAATATGTCAAATATTGATTCAAATTTTAATTGATAATTAATTTAGATTTTATTATAGTTCTAATATCTAAATATTACCTGATAATTTAGTTTATTTAATAATTAAAATTTTATTTTAAACAAAAAAAATCTTATGGAATTAGATTTTTATTTATTTACAAATTTCTAACATAACATCTTAAGAATGAGGATTTATAAATACATTATCAAGTAAAAGAATATATGTCTAGGTGAAAGTTAGAAAGAGTTATCAATGATAAGTTGATTTAGTTGGTTGATACGTTAAGTTTGTTAAATAATATTTAAAATTTGAATTTTGACATTATAATTAAAATAAATAAGATTAAGAAGATAAATCATAATAAATCTCTATAGGAACGGATTCTAATTAATTAATTAATAAATCATATATCAATGGAAAATAAAAAATTATCGAGATAAAACCATTAAAGGTTCCGATTTCATTATTGGCCATAGTACTTGCAGATGGTAAGATTTGTACTCAAAAGTGATTTAGATTATCAAAAATCATGGACGGATTATGATTATATTTCTGAATAACCAAACGTTATTAAGTGCACTAACTTAATAAAGTAAAATAATACAAGAAATAATTAAATTGAATTTATTAATTCAATGTGACAATTAACAATAAATAAATTTAATAAATTTGAAATTATGTTTATATTATTAAAAATAAATATGTAAAATATATATATGTTGATTTCATTATTGTTTTTATATTATTGTAATATAATATCATTTTAATATTTTTTTATTAAAATATCCCCACGCAAAGGCTCTTAGTGGTTTAACTATTCAGAAAATAAAAGTGAGGTTTAACAAATCATTGTGTTTGAAAATATATAAACGGTTAGAAAAAATAGTTGGTTCATATAGGGTATTCTCATAGTTATTTTCTGAAATTAAGATTGTTATAGTATTAAAAAAGACGTTAGAAATATAATACGTTTTTTTGACATTATAGAATGTCAAAATTATCAAGATTACCAAAGAAATAAAACAAGAGTTATATTATGATCGTCACATTTTTTAGAAGATGTATTGTGTTTCCGACATCCTCCGATTAGTAATGTAATAATCATATTAGATCAAAAAAATAATTCTGATGAAATCCTTCACGAGCCAATATTTTTTTCACTGCCCCCCGCTTGAAAATTTTGCCATATATAAACAGATAAATAGCTGCTATATTTATATAGCCACGTCAGGTTCAACTTCGACGATGAAAATATCTTATGAAATATCGTGCACAAAGATAAAATCACGTGGCATTTACTTTTCACATAATTATTATAATAAAACTTTGTATTTTTTCGAGAGGTGATCTAAAATGTCCAACTTTGAAAATTTACAATTAAAAATTGAATTTTAACGATTAGGATCAAGTGTTTAAACTCAAATATTATCAATAAAAAGTTAAATTAAAATTATTTATATAATAAAAAGGTAAATCTAGTTTTGTTTTTTTCTGAATAACCAAACGTTATTGAGTGCACTAAATAACGTAATAACGACAATTTAATAACTATTTCCGGTAAGAAATTGTTATTAATTTTTGAGGTCTGAAGTTTAAACATCATGAATATTATGGGTTTAAGTGTTTAATGTTAAATGATGGAAAACTATCTTTAAATAGATATTATCTTGAACTTAATTCCTTGGTTCAAATTGGTTTAAATAAATATTTTGTCTTAATATCAAATTGGACCAAAAAAGAAGTTAAAGTACCACTTTAAACCGATAAATCAAGTTTTGGTATTTAATAAAACCAAAAAACTTTAGGTACGAAATTGAACCATAAAATCAAGTTAATGTACCAAAATATAAATTTACTCTTTTCTTTTATATGAAAAAGAAATGCTAAATAAAGTTGAGCTGCAACTTGAACATAAAGAGATGTTCAAAGCATAGCCATAATGGGTGAGCTTTATTTAATTTAATGGCACATGCAGAATTACTATCGTATATTTAATGGTAAAAAGAGTTAAAATCCTTACTCTCGAAGCGAAGGAAGGTTCCAGCAGGCTTCTAATGAACGTGCTCGCCACTTCAACACATTTGCATCATGTCTCAGCTGGGAACAGCAAATAAAGATTCATATATATATGGGTTAACTACGTGTTTAGTACCTAAACTATTAGTTTTAGCCTGTTTTAATACTTAAACTTTTATTTTTTTTAAAAACATATCTAACGTTTAGTTTTTGTTTCATTTTAGTACCTCACCGCTAAAAACTTAACGACAAGCTTACGTGGCATAGCTCTGGTGGAGGACGACCAATCCAAACGATAGACCACGAGAGAATAACGAGTCGACCAACATAGTCCAATTTCAAGCCTATCGGATGGTGGACCATGGAGATCGAAAGATGAAGAAATCGAATAATCCGTCGTAGATTTGGGGAGATTGAGGTGTTTCCCGGTAAAACGGAGGTTGAAATCGTGTTTAGGGGATCGAAAATGTACGGGCTAGAAAGTTTGGGCTTCATCGGTCGACGGATGTGACGGACGACGACTATAGACGTGACGGCTGGTGAGCTCGTCTGTTAAATTTTTAACTGTGGAATAATAAAATGAAACAAAACTAAACGTTAGATATGATTTTGAAAAAAAAATAAAAGCTTAAATATTAAAACGGATCAAAACTAATAATTTAAGTATTAAATATGTAATATGTGCTTTTCCTACATATATAATTGGATATAGAATGCTAATATCACAAGTGGATATTGTTAAGTTTGATTTAAAGATGTTATGTGTATCGCCTTAAATTTTAATTGATAATTAAGTTAAAATTCGATATAATTTCAATAGTTAGGGATTATTTTATGAATAAATTTATTTATATGAAAATTCTTATAAAATAGGTTTTCTTAGTGGGGGAGTATTCGACCCTAGAAATATTGATTAAGTTTTAATCTTTAAAATTATTGAATAGAAAATTATCGGAGTGATATAATCATTTTCTGTTTCTCTGTTGTAGTAATAAGTTTTGTAGGGACGTAGTTACGTAAGAAGAATTTTTTGGTATTACGTAAGGTTTATGAGATATACCGTATTCTATATTATAAGAAATTCCATTTATTTAAACTTTGTATTAGAGATTGTGATTCAAATTTTAAGGAAAAAGTTCACGGTGTTAATTATAATTTTATCATGGGATTAACTTATCCTTAACACGGTCCTAAAAGGATTTTGAAAATTTAATTAAAAACGTGGATGTTAATTAAGGCTTGATCTCAGCTTGTAATTAGTCATTGCCCACACCAAACCCTTATTATTTAGTATGAGCTGATCCTCGTATCAAGGAGAGGCAACAACAGGAAACTCCGACAACATTATTTGTACATAACATTCCGACCAGGGACGGATGCATTAAGTTTCGTAAAAGAGTAAATGTATCCTCATATTTTATAAAAATCATATAAGTTATTTTAATATGTTAAGAGGAACATAAAAAATATATGAAAATTTGCATACCCAATTCTTTTTAATTAAATATATTAAAATTTTGGATCTTATTTTTAAATTTATAAATCCATCAGTGATTCTGACATATTCCATTAGAAGAGGGACGATATTTGGAAAACATGATGAGATAGTGAACAGGTTGAGGACAGAAGATTGTGAAAACTACATAAGTATTTAGTCATAACTATATTTGTGATGTGTGATATCGA